ATATCTTCATTCAAATACTTCTAGTCTCCATTTATTCTTCTGATAGACATTTTTTTTTTCCTAATAAAGTGCTTGTTTTTGTAGAAGTGCATCCTTAAAATTATTTAATGGTAAAATCAATGTCATTAGACAATGGGCAGCATTTGTAGCATATTAAATTATATTTGTAGTCTTGATGAGTTCTTGATTACAATGGTCTATTTAGATACAAGTTATAAAGCTTAAATGTTCTATCTCTAATCCCATGTTAGGTCGTTAGTCTTGATTCTCCTGTTTTGTTGTTGTTTCTTTCTCCTTTGTAGTCTCCAAACATCTCTGCATGATAAACAATGGTGGTTGCAGTCATTTGTGCCTTTTAGCTCCTGGAAAAACCCATACCTGTGCATGTCCCACAAACTTTTATCTTGCAGCTGATAATAGGACTTGCTTATCCAACTGCACAGCCAGTCAGGTGAGTGGAGATTTGGAAATAATGCCATGAGATGCATGGACAAGCTGTTTTAAAGATTTTTTCTGAGTTTGTTTGTGTGCTTAAACCATTTTTGATACATCAGGGTTTTTTTATTTGTTTGTTTAGCTTAATATTGAATGATCATTCCATACATTATAGAGATGGTCACAGAATAAAGGAAAAGAAATTTAATGCATACCATTAAAATGGGACCCTAGGCATTAGCAAGTACAAATAGAGGCCAAAAAAGAAATAGAACAAAAATGAAAATCATTGTTACTCAGATAGACACAGAATAATGATTCAAATCCTAAGTGGGCATAGCAGCAGCATCAGGCAAGATTTTACAAGGTTCAAGAAGGCGAAGTGATTGAGGCTTAGGGTAGGCAAAGGAATGTGGAGTTTGTACTCAAAGAAATCTTCCTAGATAATCTGCCGTGTGTCACCATTCCTGCTCTCTCCCATTCCTTGCAATCAGTGATATGAAAAAGATGAATTGTGTGGAGACTAATTCTCTGGATACTTTTTTAATTAAAATATTATAGGATCAAAATAATTACCTTCCAAAACCTCTTTTTTTCAAAATTGAACTGCTGTATTTTCAGTGAAGATATCCCGGAAGTTAAATTTTCTATTGAATGGTAGTTGTGTGGACTTGATTTTTATTAATTTCAAATTTTAAACAACAGTTGTACAACATTATAAAATTGGACTTTGTTACATTTGAGTTGCTATATTGCTTAATTTAAGATAAAATTGTCAAAGAAACTTTTATTTTTTAAAATGAATAAATTTATTCTTAGAATTCTGTGTTTTAAATCTGCTGGTTTTCCAATTACTACCAATGACTTCATGGCAAGAGACTGAATTTCTCTTATTGTTTATCTTCAAAATGGACAAGCTAAAATCTAACTTTGCTTTAAACTGGCAAGATTTAAACCTACGTAAGTTTAGGTTTGTTATATAGCTTCTTGGTGCCTTGGTTTTCTTTTCTTCTAAATAATATTTCCAGGCCATTGTTATGAAAATTAAATGGGAAAATTTTCTGGTACATAGTAGGTGTTGTTGCCCTCTGGTGCAACTGGAATGTACTTAAAAGAGTGTAAGTGTAGTTTGTGTGAGCTACCATCAGGAGATTCTGATGTCAAGTTGAAAGCACAGGTCATTGACTTTATTTTCTCTACAAAGTGTGTTATTCTAATTATAATTTCAAGTGTTTGTTTTTAAAAAATATATTCTGTTTAAAGAACTGGAAATTTAGGTCACTATGTGAGATGAAATTAGCAGCCTAATATTTCCTAACGATACAATTTAAGAAAGAAATTCCATCTTTTTTATTTTAAAATATAGTTTCTATTATTGTTGTTTGGTTTAGTCAAATTTCCAGCTTAACCTCCAGGTTGTTCTCAAAGAACCTTTGGTTTCTTGCTCTGGAGTGGTCTATGAGTCAGTCTATTGAGGCCCAACACTGAGGCTGTCGCTGACTTAGTAGAGATGGTGCCTGCCTAAGCCATTGTAGTGTAGTGAACCTCACTAACCAATTGGAAACAGTAAAACTAAAGGATACTTTGAAACACAGATGAATATATCAAACAGCAGGAAACAGGTAATAAAACATCAGCCTTGCTACGGGCATGAAAGAATAAAACTTTTCAAAATATTACATAAGAAAATCTATAATTATGTTCATTCAGTATCAAAAAATCTGAAGTCAATTAAATGAAAACCTAAGTCAACCTGAAAGTAGTAGTATTATAATAAAATTAGTATACAATTTGGTGATCAATGATGACAAGACTAAAATATTTATAATTTTTCAAATACCCCTAATAGTCTTTATCATGAATTTAAAAAAACTCAACAATAGCAAGGTAGAACAAAGAAACAAAGATGTGGGCCAGTTATTTTTGTTTTCAGTCATACTTTTTGGAATAGAAAATAGAGTTATCCCATCTTCTGTTTTGTTTTCAAGGAAAAAGTTAATGAAGAACAGCTAACACAGTCCATTAATGGTTATTTCTCTAAGTAGTTTGGTTTATGCTGGCATTTTACTTCAGATTCTTTTCTAATCTACTGAAAGAACTATATACTTCTTAGAGAAAAATCAGTTTACAGAAACACAATTTTTAGTGAGATAGATATTTAAATAAAGCAAATAATCTAGGTAGTTAAGAATCATACCATTAGGCAATCTGATGAAAATTTTTCATTTTTAATTTATTCTTACTAAGAGATTATGATTTGTTATCATTTAATGATTGCAACTAATGTCATGTCCCCAAAATAGTATTGATGTTTAGGAAAATAAAATAGGTAAATCACACCAATAAGAATTCTATTAGGATTGAAAACAATCTGAGAATCTGATAAAAATCAAGATTAATTTCGGTTCTCAACACTAGTCATTTCAAATATTTAATGTAAATTATTTTAATTAGGGAAAAAAGTCAATTTTAAAATGGCTTCACTTATTTTTTAAGTGGAGACTTTTCCAGTTTAAACTAAACTTCACCATATGGGGATTTGCATTTTATTTTTATATTCATGTAAGTAGACATTTATTTAGTAGTTTTTTACAGCTTCTTTTTGTGGGTAATAATTACAGTCGGCAATTTATTTTATAAGGATATTAGTCTTGGAGAACATTTACCATGAAAAATGTTTTATATTTATATTTAGCATCAATCTCTTTTAAGTTACTGAATTTAAGTATAAAAAAATGAACCCCAGACATGAAATAAAAGAGATCTTCTGAGAACAAAATATTGATTAGTATGTAAAGTAACATGATAAGTATATTTTACCCTGGCCTTCTCTGAACTCAGAGCTCTTTCATGTTCTTATTAAAAATTAAATTAAGAGCAAAATCATCATGTCATATATAATTCCAATAGTTGGTATTTATTTAAATCAGACATATTCAGTGATTTTAAAAATATATGTATTTTAGATTTTTTTTCCATCATAATTGGGAAGACTTTGAAGATACTCAGGAGCCCTGAAATCCTCTTATTAGTGTGCTTTGATATATTGTAATGACTGGAAATATTTAATGTTCAGGGCAATTGCTTTCAGAGTTAGTCTGATATCCCCAGACAGTCATGATCCATATAGGTATTTTTTCGCCCTCTGATAGTTTATGAAAAACCACAACAGATAGGACCACAGGCTAAGCAAATATGGGAAAAATCAGTTGAATAGTCGGATCGCCCTCTAGATTCATAGTACTCTGTTCCCTCCGATATAGATACTGGAAGAAGAATTCACTCTCATATTTTAAAAAATAATAATGTAAATTTATCCTGACTCAACTTCATGATGACCAGACAGTTCAACAAAAGCAAACATCAAATTCTGTCTTACTCTAAGAAAGTAACAGTATTCTGAATAAACAACTCTCAGATTGCTAATTCACTTTCATTAGAGATCATTGAGCCTAGGCTACAGTTTTCTGTTACAAATTTTCTTGCATGTAACATGCTAAGATAACTTGCTGTCAGTCACTCGTGGGAATTACAACAAAAACGCATCAAAAAGAATATTAATAGCTTTTATAAAATTATCAAATTATTGTTTTCAATTCTAAGTGAATATTGTAATGTATGCTTTTGACTGTACTTCTATTAAAATAAAGAAGAAAATAATTTTATAGTACTAGAAGAAATTGACTAAACGTTATCAATTGCTAGGTTTTAATAATTTAAGGACAATCTTTTAATGGCAACTGCTTCAGATGTATGTCCTGTTTGGAAAGTGCTTTTTTTTTTTTTTAGTTTCTTCTATCTGTATGTTGTTAAGAAAGGAATTCATTTGTGATCAGAGATCATTAAGGAATAAATTGACTGAGCTTTTTGGTCACTGTGTACAGTTGGCCAATAGGGAAGTTAATAGGTACAGTAGTGCTGTGCTCTGTCTCAGGGGACGAAATTGGGTTCAGATCACCTTTCTTTTAAAAATAGTATACAGTAATAGATTCCTGAAATTTTTCTCTAGTGACAAGTTACGTGTGTGTTAAATAGCGTACAAGTAAATATTGCCATAGAACAATTTCAAGTACTCTATTGTTGATCTTCCACTTGATGTTTTATATTAAAAGGCAGGAGTTAAAAAGCATATTTCTCTGAATAATAGAATTATCACCTTTCTTATGACTATTTCTCCTGTTTGTTTGCCTTGGTTTTTTTTGTTGTTGGCGGCCGGCTGGTACAAGGATAAACCCCTGAACCTTGGTGTTATCAGCACCATGCTCTAACCAACTGAGCTAACCTGCCCACCCATGACTATTTCTTTAGCTATTTTATATGGAAAGGATTATACAACAAATAAAACATTGCTAAATATTTTAGTGAATAATTTTTTTAGATAATCTTGAGAGCAAGTTTTATGATAAAAGTTTGTTTCTGTGCTTCTGTTTAAAAAATAATGTCAGCAAAATAAACTATTACAGTCTTTTTACCTCTGTTTTTTTAATTAGTAATAGTTCTATTTTTTTATCCTAAAAGGCCATTTGTGTATTTGTTAAGAATTCTAAAAACTGAAAATAACGATTGACCTCAACTGCCTTAAAGATGTATTCTCAAAATTTATATGGGGCAGATACTCATTATGACTAAAGGCAGTATTTTCAGTGTTCAGGGAATTTCATGGAATCACAGCATAATAGAGCTGGAAAGGACCCTCCAGATTATTTTCAGCTCTTCATTTGGTGGCTAAAGAATACATGCTGACAGATATTACTTGGATTGCCCAAGATTCTGAAGAAAATGCAATAAAATTAAATTAATTGAAATTAAATTAATTCAACTTGATATCTTTTCCCGATATTTCTGATAATTTTTAGCCCTACTTAGTGTTTGGCAAACTTTTCCTGTAATGGGTCAGATAGGAAATATTCTATGCTTTTTGGGCTGCAGAATCTCTGTAGCAGTGGCTCTACTCTGCTGTTGTAGTGCACAAGTAGCCCCTGCAGACAACATGTAAATGAGTGCACTGGTTTGTGTGCACAGGAAATCTCAAGAGGTTTTCCTGAACAACATGCTGTCCTGGCAGATCATTTTGCTGCTTGTTGTGCATTTATTTCCCATTGCAAAATGCTGTAAGAACCCATTGTTCACATTTGCAGCAAGAGAGTAGGCTAGGATGTGCAGAACTGGTGAGCTTTAAATATCTGTTATGGCTGTGTCGAGTTCTTCAACATTTTTCTCCCTTTGTTTTAAAGTTTCGTTGCAAAACTGATAAATGTATTCCATTCTGGTGGAAATGTGACACCGTGGATGACTGTGGTGATGGATCAGATGAACCTGATGACTGTCGTGAGTACATGGGCAAATACTGGAATTTAGAATTTAGAGTTCCTTACATCCCGGGCCTGGAAAATTGAAGCTATATCTACCGTATTGCCTTCTGATACCTTTCCAGAATTGAAGAAAAAGGTCTTGTATGTCAGTCTTTAAAAATACAACAAAAATTGTTGCAGGTGTCTTGGGTATGACTCAGATAATTGTTGCATTTAGAATGAGACCATCACCAATTTGTGTTTGTTTGTTTTTCTTTCTCAAATTTGATTACTTGTGGAATAATTACATTGCTTCATGTAGAGTGATCAGCAAAGTAATATTTAGCATGATTTTGACTTACTATATCACCAAATTAGAGGCAAAAATGAGCAAGTATTGAGAATACTACTTAATCTTTCAACTTTTTTGTTAGTGTCAAAATACTGAAAATTCCCTAAAGGTCAGATATTTCCTATATAAATCATTAGTTTGCTGTTAGGCAATTTTACATGTTCTTAGAAGTTGCCCTAGAGTGACCGCCAGTTATGTCTGAACATCTGACTGTGCTTGGCATTGTTAGATGCTACTTTCTTTAGCTATCATTGATTATTTTGGTTGTAATAGACAATTGGCAGACATTTTCCTTGATAGTCTTCTATAGTTCACTCCACAGGTGGCTCCAGTACTGTCCTGTCACGTTGAAGTTGTTTGTAGTCAATCATGATAATTCCCTCAACATCCCAGTGGTGGGGTGCCATGATTTGGCCTTGACAATTGAGTTCCAGATCCTTAGGCTTGCACTGAAGAAAGACAGTGTAGTGTCTTTGTGAAAGCTAGCTGCTTTCTGCTCTTGAACTTTCCACCACCTAATTACAGAGCTGTTTCAAATTCAGGTTCCCTAGATAGTTACTTAAATAAGCTGTGTTCCCTCTCTCTGGTCACTATCACCAAGTCTATCACACAACTGATGCTGTTTAGTGTAATTCATTTATAAGTTTGAAAGCAACATGTAATCAATTCAATGAAAAGAAAAAGAATTTAAAAAGTCAGTGTTTTTGTGATATAATCTTTATGTTACTACAAGATCTACTGCTATTTCACTTTTTTAAACATAGTTGTTTTTTTTTTCACTGTGTTAGACAACATGTGACGAGTAGTATCGAGGTCAGATAGTTAAAATATTATGCCTAAATCATTCTTTTTCTTCTTTTTTAAATTACTGAATTAAAACGACTATCAGAGGAACAGGAAATTATTTTGGTGACCTCACTGAGGTTTACTTATTAAAAGAAAGTCATTACTTTTCCCACAGTAGAACTTTCTTATGATATAGTAAATATAGTAAATATAGTAAGTGCAACTTATCTTTGTAATTCATAGAAATAAACAAGAATGAATATGTTAATTTAACCAATGTACTAAGAAGATGACCTTTGCTGCCCAGATTCATTGAGGAAGTATCATCAACATGACCTGTAGACAAAATCAATAGCATCCAATGTTTTCCTTCTAAAATATTTGCAGCTTCTGAAGTCTAGTTAATCTTGACCAAAAGTTCATGCTGGAGCCATAGTGGTATGAAAACTTAACTTCAAATTTACTATAATTGAGTTTTCACATTTAACAACTCTCAGAATATATGGTGATCAGGTATCACTTTAGTGTATTTTGAGGGGAAACAAAGAGACAGCTGGTATTTAAGAGTTTCTGTTTGATCCCTATCCTAGCTAGATACTAATATCTACATTTATTTATTTATTTATTTATTTTACAAGTAAAACTGTGTATATTTAAGTTGTACAACATGATGTTTTGTATACATTGATGTATACATTGTGGAATGGCAACACTGANAAGTTGTACAACATGATGTTTTGTATACATTGATGTATACATTGTGGAATGGCAACACTGAACTATTTAATATATATATTATGTATACATTTTTGTGGTGAGAATACTTAAAATCTACTCTCAGCAATTTTTTTCTTTTTTAATTAATTAATTAATTAATTAGTTGATTAATTAATATTATTACTTTTTTACATTCTAAGATGTTGCACAGCAGTTGGGGGGATGGGGAGTCTAATAGGGTGGGGGGAGGAAGAAAGAGGGGGGTCATAGTCAAGGCCAGTGGCACCCCTTCATTTTGGTAGGGTAAACCAGGGGGCTTCCAGTGGCAGCTCAGTTATTGCTGGGCTGGTTGTGGGTGGAGGGGTGTGTGGCTGAGGCCCTGGGCCCCCCACCACCCTGGCCTGCAAGCCCAGGGCACTTCCTGTGGTGGCTCGGTGGTCATTGCTGGGCTGATTTCTCTTAGCAATTTTTTATTATACAATATATCATTGCTAACTACAGTCACCATAATGTACAATAGATCTCTTGTAATTATTCCTCCTAATTGAAATTTTGTGTTGTTTGACCAACCTCTCCCAATTTTCTCCACTCTACTGTTCCTCTCCACCGAGCCTCTGGTAACTACCATGTAACTCTCTGTTTCCATGAGTTTCACTTTCTTAGATTCTATATATAAGTGTGATCATGCAGTATTTGTCTTTCTTTGCCTGGATTATTTTACTTAGCATAGTGTCCTCCAGATTCATCCATGTTGTCACAAATGACAGGATTTTCTTCTTTTTAAGGCTAAATAGTATTCTATTATGTATACCACATTTTCTTTATCCATTTATCTGTTGATGGACACTTTGGTTAATTCCATATCTTGGCTATTGTGAATAGTGATACAGTAAACGTGAGAGTGCAGGATTTTTTTTAATATACTGATTTAATTTCCTTTGGGTACATACCCAAGAGTGAGATTGCTGGATCATATTGTAGTTCTATTTTTAACTTTTTGAAGAAACTCCATATTGTTTTTCCTAATGTCTGTATTAATTTACATTCCTACCAATGGTATATAAAAATTCCCTTTTTTCTCCATCCTCACCAATATTTGTTATCTTTCATGTTTTTGGTAATACCTATTCTAACAGGTGCGAAGTGGTATCTCCTTGCAGTTTTAATTTGCATTTCCTTTATGAGAAGTGATGTTGAGCATTTTTTCATATTCCTGTTGGCCATTTGTATGTCTTCTTTAGAAAAATGTCTGTCTGTCTTTAGACCATTTTTTAGTCAGGTTATTTGTTTACTTACTATTGAGTTGTTTGAGTTCCTTATATTTTAGATATTAATACCTCATCAGATGTATGATTTTAAAATATTTTCTCCTGTTCTTTAGGTTGTTTATTCACTCTGTTAATTGTTTTCTTTGCTGTGCAGAAGCTTTTTAGTTGGTATAAATTCATTTGTCTATTTTGCTTTTGTTGCCTATACTTTGGGGTTGTTTTTAAAAAATCTTTGATCAGACATGTATTATGAAGCTTTCCCCCTGTTTTCTTCTAATCGTCTCACATGGTTTTATTGGTGACATTATTTCTGTGGCCTCTTAGCAAGCAAAATTTTACTTATAGCTAATAGGTTAATAGCTTTGAACATCTGCAGGCATGGCATTTTACTTTGAGAGTCATGGTGAGATGGAAAATGATATACATGAATCTGTGAAGCATTTAGATTTTATTTTTGAGGATCTGCATCATCATAATTTGTAGGTATTAAGAGTCACTGACAATACTTATAATAACTTTCCTTAAGAAGTCAGAAAACCCTGATTTCAGGATTACATACTTGCAAACTTACATAATGTTATTTACATAACTGTAGTTAAGAATGATGCATTAAGAATTCTCAGACCTCATAAGTTTGTAACAACATATTCTATTATACTTTTATACAACAAGGATCATTCTAGAAATAAATATGAAGGTCAGATGGGCTTCCAAGTTATTTCCCAGGCATTCCTTTAATAGTTGCAACCCATTTTTATAGGAGGATTGCTTTGTTAGCAAAAGAATATTAAATGAAATGTTATATGAAGCAACAGGAAAGAGAGGAAATATATACATTTAGAGTATGAGAAAATAAGTATCATGAAATTTAAACATTTAGTGTGACTATAGATCAAAGGTAAATGACTTTTGACATTTTAGAACTCTCTTACTTCCATGGAAGGAAAGCATATATTGAATTATTTTTTAAGGAACGCTTAAATTTTTAATTAATTCTGTAATTATAGACACAAAATTTATTTCCCAAATAAGTTTAAAATGTCATTTATTAGTGTTTGATTCACTGATTTGAACTAGTAAATAACATATTATTTATCTCAAAGTCAATGATTAGTAGCATACACTAGGATCACTGGTAAAAAGATAAGTGTTTTACTGTAAGCAACATAGTTTGTGAGAAGACTTCAGAGTCAGATATGTATTTAAATTCCAAGTCTGGCACTTCAAAGTTGTACCTCTTTGGGTGAATTATTAATGTCCATGAAACTTAATTTCTTCATTTGTGAATTGGTCATGGTGATGCTAAAGTGAGAAGGTTATAATGAAATTAAATTAATAAATGTATGTGAAAGTGTCTAGCCCAGTGCTAGACACAAAGTAGATACTTATAGTTTCTATTATATTATTATGCCTTAAGTAGACTCAAAGAATATAACAAAAGGATATGCACTATTATTTAGGAGTTATTTAATATAATGATATGTGTATAATATATAAAATATTTACTGTTTACAAGATATTGTCCTTATATATTATAATAATAGGACTAAAGAAATCACTTAATAAATCTTATTTAAACAACACTGAGGGTTGCGATCCGTTGCCGGACACGGAAAAAGACAAAAAAAAATAAAAAAAATTAAAAAAAAAATGTGTATAATATATAAAATATTTACTGTTTACAAGATATTGTCCTTATATATTATAATAATAGGACTAAAGAAATCACTTAATAAATCTTATTTAAAATGTGATAGACATAGGAAATATTTACTGTTAAAAGTGATATTGAAATAACAGCTTTTTTATTACTATAAATTTTATTCTGCTACTTAACCTCTCAATACCACTTCATTGTAATGAAGACATATATATTTTTTAAAATACATTTTTTATATTTATGTGTTATTAATTTCTTTTTTCTTATGGTTCGTTTATGAATTGTAATTTGGAGGCCATCTGAGTTGCTCATAGTTCAGCTGCATGTCTGAATCAAATAGCTATCTAGATGTAAGGCGTTCACATTGTGCTCTAGGATATGTCTAATGTAATAATAGAGTGAATATTTTGAATGTCTGAAAAGCTCTGTTTAAGAAATCATGAGCTAAGATTGCCATCCCGCAACACCTGTACGTTCTCTCCTCTAGCTGAATTTAAATGTCAGCCAGGACGATTTCAGTGTGGAACTGGACTCTGTGCTCTGCCTGCTTTCATCTGTGATGGGGAGAATGACTGTGGAGATAATTCTGACGAGCTCAACTGTGGTAGGTGATTCAATTCCTAACTAAAGAACATACATCTAATTCTTAACCAATTATGTGTGTACTGATTTAAATTCAGACACAGGTCGCAGGTCAGATTCTTTGTTCTCTCTTTTAGACACACATGTCTGCCTGTCAGGTCAGTTCAAGTGCACCAAGAACCAGAAATGTATTCCAGTAAACCTGAGATGTAATGGACAAGATGACTGTGGTGATGAGGAAGATGAAAGGGATTGTCGTAAGTCACCTCAAAATGTTCTGTTTTCTTGCTTTTGGCTCCCAACAGAAATTGGTCTAAAAATTATTATTATGCTCCATAAATTCATACTGTGTAGAAAAAAAGACAGAAATTATGGTCAAATAATTATAAGTAGGTGCCAGTTGGGACAGATTATTTTAGAAGCTCTGTATAAAAAAATAGAAAAAATTAAAACAAGTGATCTTTACTTTAAAAGCTACCTGGAGATTTTGACAAAAATGAAGAACATCCATTTATCAATATCATCCTTAAGAGAAGCATCAAAAGCAACATTACAGTTGATTATGGGTTGTTTTTTGTTTCTATAAATTGATTTTTTCCTATATTATGTAGATACAGGTAATTTACTTCTATTGATTAATTAGTTACTTGAAATTAACTCCATTTTAATTATAGATTGTCCCCCCCCCCNGCATATCAAACCTATGATGAAAAATACAAAATCTGGGCAAATAACCTAACAAAATTACTTAGAAAAAACTGTAAATAATGCTCAATTTAATATACATTAACAGGCTATTTGGAAGAATTACAGTAAAATCTTTTTTATTCTGTTCACCTTGTATTTTCATCTCCCATCAAAAATTAACTTACATTAACTGAAGGCAAAGTAGTTTACACCATATGCATACATGCACACACACACACACACACACACAGGATATGAAGGAAGAGCACCTGTCAGGTGTCAGGGTTTCAGCAGAACTGCTATCAACATTTCTGTCTTACTGAGGTTTTATTTTATTCCTCTAAAACTTTTATCAGTAAATAATGTGCAGTCATCCAGCAATTTGATTAAGATGGTGCGTTCAGAATAAAGTCAGTACCAGTTCTTTATGGCTAGCCATTCTAGAAGCTGATCCATTAAACTGACTAGGATTTGTGGTGCAGTTTACAGTCTGAGTTGGTTGTTCACCATTGCCCTGAAAAACTCAACACAACTCCTAAAGACTTAAATAAATTTTATGCATTTTATTTCCTCATTCAGTTAATGTCTTCCAGTTTTATTCTTTTTCAGTTTATAAAAGTGCATATGTTTAAATTGTTAAATTTATCTGGAAAAAATTATTTTGAAAGGCACTTAAATCTTTGTTTTTGAAATTAATTTCCTAAAATCTAATCAAGAGTTCTTTTAAAAAATCTGATTTTTATCAATGCGTCATTACAGAAATATGTTTTCTTTATTTCTACAGGAAAGTTATTAGGAGTACATTATTGGTAATTGAAAGTTAAAATTCCTTACTTTCAGAGCCCTAATTTTGAAAGGCACTTAAATCTTTGTTTTTGAAATTAATTTCCTAGAATCTAATCAAGAGTTCTTTTAAAAAATCTGATTTTTATCAATGCGTCATTACAGAAATATGTTTTCTTTATTTCTACAGGAAAAGTTATTAGGAGTACATTATTGGTAATTGAAAGTTAAAATTCCTTACTTTCAGAGCCCTAATTAATTAAAAGATGATATGTTTACAATAAACTGCCTTAAACATGTCTGTTTGATTACTTTTTATAAATAAAATATCTGTTCTCCAAAGCTACATTTAATAGATACTTTTTCTCTTAAGCTGAAAACAGCTGTTCTCCAGACTATTTCCAGTGTAGAACTACTAAACATTGCATTTCCAAGCTGTGGGTTTGTGATGAGGACCCAGACTGCGCAGATGCGTCAGACGAAGCCAACTGCGGTGAGTGTTTTGTGACCATGGATCTTATTTATTTGTATTTGCGTCATCATCTGAGATGGCCACAGTGAAACAAATTTGAACAGAATTCTAATAAAACTAGGGTCTTACATGAGAAAGTTGGTTTCTATGTTCATAGACTCATGTGCACATGGTATTGTTAGCATTTAGTGAGTAGAAACAATTCCATATTTTTCTAGAATTCACTTTTCTACTTAAAACATAAGATTCTTCATTCATTCAATGATTATTGTTCATTATTAAACAGTGGGAAAAAAAGGAAAAGACTATAAAAGCATCTATTCTGTTTCAGTAGATGACAGTAATCACTTAAGTTAGCATTTGCTTCTGAAACACTAATATTTTCATTTAAAATAAATTATTTATTTACAATAATTATTTATTGATTAACATTTCAGAAATGGAGAATATATTCATTTTGTTTAATGTATTTGACTCTATCTTGAAAATGTCAGCAGTGAGATGAAAATGAAGAGTAGTTGCTATGTGTAATTTATTTTACCATCATTTACTAAACATTAATTGAGCCTGTTTTGTAGATGAAAATGCCAACTTGGCACTGTTGGGGAAGAAAAAGCATTTAATTTAGTAATCGATTAGAAAAGACAAAGTTTGTCCAAACTAAAGATAAGACTTCCAGGCTTCATAGTGAGAATTGTGTTTAATTCATTTGCCAAATTATACACTACTCTTATTTAACTTTTATTGAATAGATAAAAATAATGAAGAACATTTAGGTGCTCTGAAATTCCATTTATATTGAACAACTCTTATGAGCTACAGGATAAGCACTGACAATAATAACATGTCTTTTAGTGGCTTTCCTAATACTGTATTCCATACAATCTTGCCTTCAGAACATGCAACCAGTATAGCCTATCACAGTATCATAAAACTACCATTTGCCTCTTTGTGGAATTAGTCTTCATGATCAAGTCACAAAACATCAAAGCACATTCATCACCAATTTGTCCATAACAATTGCTAAGCACTTTTACAGACTAGTTTATATTACTGGCTAGTTTGTTCTGTTGTCTTCTGTATTTTTGTTTACCAAAGCAAAGTGGGTGATTACATATTAACTCTCTGAATTATTTCTTGACTGGAGTGTTATTTCTATATTTTGCTTTTCTTCCTCCTCTTCATTTTGGTGTGATTTTAACTATTTTTGGCAGATTACATTGTTCAAACCAATTATTATCAATTATCATCAGCATAATAATGCCTAATATTTAGTTGGAGCTAACCATATAGCCCAGGAAATGTGTTTAAGGCTTTACAGTGGTTACCTCATTTAATCTCTTTATTATCCCTCTTTCATCATTAAGGAAAGTGAGGCACAAGGAGGTTTTGTAACTTGCCCAAAGTCTTGCAAGTAGTGGAACTGGGACTTCAGTCCAAGGTTATTTGACACCAAAGCACCTGCTTTGAAACCCTGTGGACACAGTGTGAAATCACTTGATTCTTTCTAGATAAAGAGAAAAAATACTTAAATATTTTAAATAATGAAGTTATATAGAATTCTCCAAGCCACAAGTATTGATATAAGTTCCAAATCAGTATATATATATATATGCATACATGCATACACATACATACATAAAGATTGGGGCAGGAAGAGAGAGTTGCTACTTGACTTGCCTTAAACTCCCTATAAAATTCCATTGTGGGCACGTGCTAATTTGGTTTAAAGAAAATTCTACTTTGTATCTTAATATAGCATTTTACAATTTTTATTTTTGAAGTGGATATGAGGCCACCTCCTTTCCCTTTCTTTTGTCTTCAATAAATATAAACATGTCACATATTTATTCTAATTCTGTTAACACCCCATGAGATTATTTCTCTTTTTGATACTTTTATTGAGTGGAAAGAAAGATAACTCTTCTTTTTGTTGTTGTTAATTGAAACATAATTTATCACACATATCTGTGAGATACTGAGTTGAATATCAATACTGTGTGCAATATAGGATGCCTAAATCAGGATAATTAGTTTATTCAACATAGCAACATGGATGAACTTAGAGAAAATTATGTTAAGTGAAATAAGCCAGGCTCAGAAAGAGAAATACTGGAACTAAAAAAAATAGGAAGGAAAGAAGGAAGGGAGGGAGGGAGGGAGGGAGGAAGGAAGGAAGCAATGACATTAATATGTTGAACTTTCAGAAGAAGAGAACACAACTGAGGTTATCAGTGGTGAGAGACTGGCGGGGGGTGGGGGGAATTAAGTAAGAAATTGGTGAAGGGCCACAAAAAATGATTGCATAACTCTTCTTAAAGGTTAACCCTATGATGCCAAAGTCTTGTCATTTGAATCAGTTATGTGTTTTTTTGTTGTTGGGAATGGAATTTGTCTAAAAAAGAGTGTTCCACTATTTCACACTTTCGGTGTCCTCAGGATGTAGCAGGAACCAGCAGAATGTAGAGGACCAACTGGTCTATTCCCTGTTGCAAGACCTCGATTTGCAACCCAGTTTCAATTTAATTGCCTCTTTCTTACTTTCTTAACCAGCGTTAAGTTTAAGAAATGATTTTCTTATAATCTTGGAGGTCACCTGTCCCTTACCTCTTATCTCCCAGCACAATATTTTTATTTATCTTTATTTCTCTGTCTAATTGGATTCTTTCACTTCTAAAGTCTTAGCACTGTAGTTTGTTTATTCTACCTTGACATCTCCTATCTGAAACAATTTGTTTTATTTTGCTTTGCTTTGCTTTAAATTGTATAAATAAAAACAACATAGAAGAAAGAGAAAGAGAGAGGGAGAGAGACACTATGGAAACATGAAACAAAGTAAGTTAACACGAACAAAAAAATACAGGTGTAGTATAGAGAATTTTTAAAAATGTATAGATACTCTAAAAATTATTCTACATTTATATTTTCTGGAACTTAGCACAGTGTAATTTTTGTGCTCTTATGGGTACTTGCAAATTTAACAAAATTCAATCTGCGCAAAAAGTTTATGCTGATCTATAATTTAAGAAGGTTTTGAACAGACATAGATTAAGCATAGTTTAGGAGTCCAGGCTCAATAAACTAGTCTTGGTGAGACTTTGGATATAAATTTTAAAAATTAAATTCACCATATAATTTTCCATCTTATTACACCTCATTTTTGAAGTGGCTAAATTTATGAATCTATAAAAACTACATTTGTCACATTTGGATCTAAATTAATAAATACCTTAAAAACATCTTTTTGCACTATTTCTGTGTAAGTAAAGATTTAAATCTATACTATCCTCATAGTCACTGTAAAATAGTTCTGACTTCGTTTTGTGAGTTGTTAAGAGTTCTTACAAAATTACTTTTTTTAATTAAAGGTATTTACTCTCTTTTAATTCTATATCAGCAGACAAAAATACCTTTAAAAAATGTACAGGTATACACGTTTTTTGGATGGTAGATGTTCACTGCTCTTGTTAGGCTGATTTACTATTTAATACAATATTGGACAAATACCAGATTTGAATGCCTGACCAAAACAAATAGAAGACCCCAATTGTAGCAGCCCCAGGATATTCTTTTGGAATCTCAACTACAAACTTTCTTCACCCTCTGCCTGCCATTTTCTATTTTAGGAACTAATTGAGGATTTAGGGATTTGACAGATCTGTTCTAGATTCATACCTCTGCTTGGTAAAGAGAGTTTAAACTTTTCTACAATTTGACTCTTATAAGGTGGTGTCAGAATCTGTGTCTTTTCATTATGTTCTCTGTCCCCAGTTTATAGTTTAAACTCTTACTTCCCTCACTGCCTATGAAACATTCTGCCTTTTGGTAATTTTTCTGAGCTCTCCTGGTCCCCTCTGCATTCTTGCCCAATCTTTCCAGAATCCCCCGTTTGTTCTGCCACATTCACTCCTCTCTGTGGTCTTGCTTTCTGCTTTTTGCTTCTGTATTCCTTCATCTAAATCTAGAATTTTGTGTCATCAAAGAGAGTGTTGGCCTTCAAGTTGGTTCAGCTTCATTTGCTGCTTTTGAGAAGTCTTGGTTTATAACCTGTGGCTTAGCTAATAATCCTTGTTTAATGAGCTGCCTGTAAACACACTAGTGAAGGCTTGTGAGGGGAACTTGAATGTCCTAAAGTAACTTTACTTTCCATAGCCTGATTTCTCTGACATAACACTCAGCACAGTCAAACCAAAAGATAGAAGCACTCAACTTGTGCTTTTATTTTCCCTTAAATGTGTGACCAGGAAATTTGAATCAGGCTTCTTTAGCTATAAGAATGTAACAAACCTTTTTTTTTTTTAACTTAAAACAAGTACGTATTAAATTATAGAATATTTCAAACATACAGATTTGTTTTACAGAAAGTTTTATAGTATGTAGCCTGT